TTCCGAACATGAAAGACACCGATAATGCCGTAAAATTTTCGTCATCAGCAGCACCTCGACGTGCAATCTACGGTTCAAAAATGTGACTGCCATATTAACTTCCAAGAAAAGACAAATGTATTTGCCAGTTTCATCCACGTTAACACCATCTTATACGCAATCCACTTTTTTGCTAGAAGAGCTGAACTCCTGCAGCAACCCTATTCATCAAATATGTGCAAGCATTACCAAATTGGAGAAGAGCGCCGACATATGTGCCATAAGTTTTTCGATGAAAAGATCAATCAGCTGATTCAACTGCTCGGTTCTTTCCTTGTAAGCAACCATCAGATGCATCGATGGATTGACTTTTGCTGCCGTGTAAGCTTGTAAAGCACGTGCAGCTGCACAGCAGCGACTGATGCTGCAAATGCAAACTTTTACCAGCATTTTTGGATAATTCGTGATAAGCCGGCATCTGATAAAGTCAGGTAGTCTCCAAATTTGTTTGATTTGTAAAATTACAAAAAAAGAAAAACAGTGACAGTTCAGCAGTCAACTGGTGGGTGCTACTGGCAGAGCGCTGTTGCACAGACCAAGTAATTCCATATCTCTCAAGGAGTAAAATACAGTGAAGTTTAAACTAATTGTTGAAAAAACAGCAGCGCAATAAATGTATTTTGAAAGATAAGCTCACAAATGTTAGAAAAAAATTATCAGTATTAGAAAACTCAAACATTTTTACTGTTTCCGCTATTCCTCAAATTCGTGTTAAAACTGTTTTCAGCCAAAGCTTACCTTACAGGATCGGAAAGATTTGCTGTTTGCAATGCGCGTATGTGATCTTCGTTAATTGTATCAACTGCTGTTATTAAATCCGACAGAAAATCTTTCAGAATTCGCGTGTTTTTTCGTTCGACACATCCAAGACTATCCTTTTCTTCAATCAGTTCAACACTGTCGCGTAAATGCTATAACAGTATAATAGGATAAGCAAAACATTCCTACCAGAAAAAATCAGAAAGCAATTTACGCTCA